CACACACGCACTACTTCACAAATAAGCAGCAACACCTTTACAACCCCCCAAACAGACAACGGCAAAAAAACAACAACCCAACATACAACCTATAAAAAAACCCCAAAAACCCCCCGAACAAACCCCCCCCAGTCTTTCAGTTTGTTAGTGTTTGAGCCTTTGATTGTTAAAAGAGAAAGGAATAAGTAAGAGCAGCTACCGGCACTGAGTCCTGCCTGCGTTACATAGAAAGACAGGATAACATTTTAATGGTTTGACCACCTGTTACGCATGTCACCTGACCAGCCAGCCTTGAGAACCTACAACACCAAGCACTCAGGCTATAAAGGAAGAGGAAGGCCACTCAAAAGGTAGATCGAGGGTGTCAAGGAAACCCTAAGAAAACATAACATCACAACCGAAAAAACTGCGGAGCTGGCCTACCATAGAAAACTGCATCTCCTCTCGACGCTTAACGGCAACGGAGGATGCAAAAATAAAAGTGAGTAAAGTGTTTGAGCGCGTGGAATCCGCAGCTTGCACTATTGTATGTTCCCCAGTAAGCCGAGATTGTTTCTTAGTCGTGAGTCCTAAAGTGTATTCGGGCAATGATAGTTCTAAAACGCAGGGAAGATCACGCACTACATAAAGTCAGTTGGCATATTTTGGTTCCTGTTGAATAGTTCCAACCATCATATTATGGAGATAAAACTGAACCACCAATACTTCCCAGTGAAATAGAAGAGGCACTCAAGACCAGCCCCAAGAACAAAGCCCCGGGACCAGAGACATCACAGCGGAAGCCATAAGAGCTTGTGGAAACACCAGTATACTGTGGCTGAGGCGTATTTTCAACAGAGCCTGGGAACAAAGAAAATGCCCAGAAGACTGGCAAAAAGCCATAGTGGTAGGCCTACCATTATGGAACAAAGGGCAACAAACGCGACTGCACAACATATAGAGGCATCTCATTGTATGCCAAGACACTAGAGCAGCGCATAAGACCTATTGTAGAGAGAAATCTGAGCAAAGCTCAGTTTGGATTCCGAAAGGGAAGAGGATGCACGAATGCCGTATTCGCATTACGACAGATATGCGAGAAAAGAATCGAATACAACAAAAAACCCAACATCGTCTTTATAGACCAGGAAAAGGCCTTTGACAGAGTAAACCATACAAAGCTCTAATGGAAGACACTCGAAAAGTATGGCCTCCCAGGACAAATGTTAGATAATGTTAGAGCTCTATATACCAACAGTAGAAGCTCAGTAAGAACGAAGGAAGGCAATACAGACTGGTTCAAAGTAAGATCTGGAGTACGACAGGGATGCGTTCTATCTCCCCTCCTGTTTATAATATATATGGACTCAATAACGCAAAAAGCAAACCAAAGCCCAGAAAGCCTAAATGAATTACTGTTCGCAGACAACCAATGTCTTATTCATCTTGACCAACAAAGCCTCCAAAATCACACTACCGAACTCAACAACACCTGTAAGAAATTCAACATG